AGATTAAGGTCGACTATATGTATATTTAGAAGTAGAGGCTTTAAAACCAAGTTAATGCTGAAAGTACAAACATCACTAATGTCACATAACTTTCCCGTGAAAAAGGTTTACACGATCTCTATGATGTAAACACGAGGAGCTCTTGTATTCTGTACGTTACCTCAATGTTGGGAATATCAGCATCCAGAATAATGTAGAGAAAGGATACTTTGCGTGGTCTCCTCCTACTTTCAGGACCCCGGGGGATGTTACCTGATGTTGGCAGCTGGCAGGCTCCCTTGCACTGAAACATGCATCTCTCACCCTGTGCAGTACTGTAGTACTTTGTGCAAAGTTCATGTTATTAGTTATATTATTATTATTATTCCACAGCCGTCCACGCTGTGCTGAGTCACCTAGAGCAGCAGCAGAGCTGCGTCTGAATGCTCTTCGTGGACTACAGCTCCGCCTTTAATACAATCATCCCGGACATCCTCGTCACCAAACTGGTCACTCTCCCCCTCCTCTCACATGTGCCTGGATAAAGGACTCTCTCACAAACCGGCCCCAGACTGTGAGACTCCGCCCTCACCTCTCCTCCGCTCGCACACTGAGCACCAGCTCCCCACAGGGCTGTGTGCTGAGCCCCCTCCTGTATTCTCTCTACACCCACGACTGCAGTCTGACCCACAACAACACTCTCATCGTCAAGTTTGCTGATGACACCACGGTGGTTGGACTCATCTCAAAGGGAGACGAGGCAGCCTGCAGAGAGGAAGTCCTGAAGCTGGCAGCCTGGTGTTCAGAGAACAAGCTGACACTGAACACTAAGAAAACCAAAGAGCTCATTGTTGCCTTCAGGAGACACAGCACTGACTTGGCCCCCTTTACATCAACAGGGAGCGTGTGGAGAGGGTCCACACCTTCTGGTTCCTTGGTGTCCTCATCTCTGCTGACATCTCCTGGACAGTCAACATCTCAGCGGTCGTCAAGAAGGCCCAACAGCGGCTGCACTTCCTGA